ACTTAAAATATTTGGCATATGGATTAGCTCAAACTGCCATTTTTATTTATGTGATGAAGAAACACATTTTCCTGATAGTCTCTGTTGCTAAAGTTTCCTCTGTTGCAGGCTTGTTAATGTTTTTAGACCCCCTCAAATTAAAATGGCGCTGGGATACATTTCAAAATTGCAAGCCAGTTTAGTGTAAAAAATGAAAAGAATATATACAAAGTCGCTGTCAAACTAATCTAATTTACAGTTTCAAATACAATATTGTTTGTGGTTCACCATGATTGGGAAGTTTAATTGTCTTAACCTTACTGCCTTGTGCCCCCCTTTTTATTTTTTTACTTTTTACCCTTATTTGTATTAGCCTTTTCTTACCTACATGACTTAGTTCTTAAGAAAAATATCTCTCGAATCACCAAGAAAAGCACCCATGACCACGTTTCATTAACTTGTGCCATTTCAGATGGACAAATAATGAAATGTGTATGTTTAGCATATGGATTTGCTCAAACTGACATTTTTACTTGATAGAATAAACAGAAGACAAAACTCATCAGCTTAATAAAGCTCCAGCTTTCTTAATATTTTACTATTTAACATGTATACCAGATGATTTTTGAAAGTAAGGAGTTTCTAATGTTTGGTTCTTTGCCAGAAGAACTATATCCAAGACTAACAAACATTTGTTTGATAAATTTCAGTAAATTTAATTATTAAAATACTGTCTCAGGAAACAAAGTTACTTACTCTCCAAGGAAAAGAGGAAGAAAGAGAAAAATTGATTAAAATGTGTATGACCCACAAAGGAAAATAAACAAGACAAGAAAACATGCAAAGCTCATGTCATTCCTGATTTCCACCAGCATCAACCCAGGGTGAGGGCCCCGGAGGGCAAGAAATTCACCTAGATGGAGGTGATACAAGATGTCTATAACCCAGGTTTGCCTGAAACTGTAGGAAGCTAGCCAGTCAGGTCAGGGCAGATCCAGACACAGAGGCTAGCAAAAGCAATTACACATAAATTAGTATAAGTGATTGGAAACCAGTTCATATCTGTAACATAACAGAAGTTCAGTGTATATAAACTGGTTTCGAAATGGCTGAAACCAGTTTAAAGATAAACCTGGATGGAGGTAATATTAGACTTAATTGATTTAGGTTAAATTAGTTTATTGAACTTCTGTCCCTTCCAGATTCAAGTTAATTCCTAGCTCCCCAGCATCCCAGGATGCTTTGCACTTCCCCCAGAAACCCCACTGCAGGATGGGCAGGCTAGCTTTGGCCCAAGCTGTCTGCTCCAGCTTAGCAGGGAGGTGTGCTCTAGTGCACGACCCCCCCCCCAGACTGATACAGTCTTTGCACGACCCCCCCCCAGGTTCTGGCCTGGGCAACTGCAGGCATGTGGCTGCATTTCTGGAATCAAAAGTGAATGTCTGTTTACTTGCTTATTATAGTTCAATCTCTGCAGTATAGACTAGCCTGCAAAGATTGAATCAATTCAGCCTTGGGGTGTACCAATAGAGATTTTGGGGGCCAATACCGATAGCCAATATTTAACGAGGCGTATCAGCCAATACCAATCCGATGCAGCTGCTATCAGGTGGTAAGTCCGGTGTGGTGAAAGGGAGGGGAGAGGGAAGGAGAGTGGGAGGGTGCAAATCAAGGCCCCCCAAGGTGAGGGAGGGGGCAGGGGCAGGTGCTGCCCAGCTGCGGAGGCGGGGCGTGGGATGGAGGCACAGCTCGTGGGGTAGAGGCAGCTCCTGCTGCTGCTTGCACTCCGGGACGGTGGGGGGGCATAAGCCCCCAGATCTACAAGGCATGGGGCGGGCTGCAGCTGCAGGGTGGAACTGGAGCCGGTGCTGCATGGGGCTTTTCTTGCCAGAGGCTGGGCTTACAGTCAGAGTGGGCTCCGGCAACACTGGGAGGCGGCTGCAGCCACCCCAGATTTTGCCACAGCTCCACTCCCAACCCCAAGTTGCTGCCCCCTGCCTGGCACAGCCCTGACTGAACATCCCTCCTCCACCCAAGTGCTGGGAAAAGCCGGGGCTGCGCTGGGCGGGTGGATGGCAGAGCGGGGCTGGGAGTGGAGCTGCTGCAAAATTTGGGGTGGCTGCATCCTTCCAGAGTCTGCTCCGACTCCATGGCTAGCCCCCAGCAAGAAAAGCCCTGCGTAGCAGCAGCTCCACCCCACAGCTGCAGCCTGCCCCACACGGCACAGATCCGGGGGCACACGTCCCTCCACCCCTGCCCTTCTGGGGTGCAAGCAGTGGTGGGAGCTGCTCCCACCCTATGAGACGCACCTCTGTCCTGCGCCCGACCCCCTCCGGCTGGGTAGCACCTTCCCCTGCTCTCTCCCTCAGCATGGAGAGCCTTGATCCACCCCTTCCCTCCCCGCTCCCCTTCCAACTTACCAGCTGAAGGCAGCTTTCCACACTCCCAGCTCTGCTCCATGCTGTGCTGTGGCTGCACGCAGAACAGGCATTTATTGGCCAAATAATTGGCCCCATTGGGCTGATATCCGATATAGACAATATTTTTTATATCGGTACCAATCCAATATCGGACTGATATATCGGTGCAGCTCTAGCTAAGACTGCAGTCTTCTCAAGGGTCACACATGCTCTCAGGTGCAGGGGAATGTCTATGGCAGCCTCCTTCCCCCAGCAGCTCCCAGAGCCAGACTGACTGCTCTGGCTCATGCCTTAGATCAGAGGTCAGCAACATTTTTGGTCAGAGTGCCAAAAACACCCACAACCTTAATTTGTAAGTTGGCATGCTGGGGTGGATAGTGGGGATATCATGAGGGACCTGATCTTTGTTGTGACAGAGCGTCCCTGGCCCCTTCCTGCCATCTGCCCCAAGGCACACGTGCCAAGCAAAATGCCTTTGCATGCCATGCTCTGGCACATGTGCCGGAGGTTGCCTACACCCGCCCTAGGCTTGTGTGGCTTGAAGCCACACCTCATTTTGGTCATGTGATGCCCTGAGCTCTGGGCAGAGTTTTCCTTGTCATTCAAGGGCCAGCCTGCCTTCCTGCAGCCACATCCAGCTGAGTCTGCTTCATCTTCTCAAAGGAGCAGGAGTCTCTCGGCCCCCTCCTACAGTTCCCTCTTTTCCCTTTCTCTTACTCCCCAGGTAACAGGGTTTGGGTCCCCTGTTACACTCATATTCAGCTCAAGCTAATATACAATGTGATGCACTGAGCAATGGAGCCAAGCCATACATTAATAATGAAGCCCAGCTGTGATGAGCTGGATGCATAGCTTGGATGGATGACGGGTGAATAACCAAGCAGCTCTGCTACAGTGAACTGGAGTGAAGAAGAAGAAATGTGAATGCATTTCAAGGCTAACTGGCCAACTCCTGTGAGCAATTAATCATAAATGAGTAGCATCAACTACCTAGATGAGAAAGGCATAGACCTTATTACACACCAACAGCACACCATTAGGTAGGAGAAATGAACAAAGCAAAGACTGTATCAGCTGCAGGGAACCAGCAGATTGTGGGGTGCTGCAAAACTGGAGACAAAAAATGCTTATCATGTATAGGCCAGTACATCTACTATGCGCGACTCAAACTCTGAACTATAGCACTGTCATTCTCACCTATGAGGGACTCATGAGGGTGCTATTCAGTTGACAAAGTTTTCCTAAAATTTATTTTTAATCTTCACTATGCAGTAAGCTGGCAAGGTGGAGCATCCACAGTGTCAAACCAGGTTAGTGTGCTTATCAGTCAAGTGTGCAGGTCTAATTTAAAATCCTTGCTCTAGTCACAGCTGGAGTCTCATCATAGCCAGTTATGGACTTCTGGTCCCTTCACTGAGCTACTGTGCAATCTGGCATGATAATAATACCTCTGTTGTTTACCAGGCCTGGGAAAGGAACAGCAGAGGGTGCTGTGGATCAGGAGTACTGAGTATCACTGAGGATAGCTGTGGAAGATTTCTTACATCTGTAATTATTCTTAGCTCCAGTTGGTTTTATTAGCTCTTCATATTCATGAGTGTAAAATTTACTTATAAATTAAGAATAAGTACCACTGGAAGTAAAATACTCATGTATTCATGAGTAATGAAAAGAGAGAAGGGGGAGGGCTTTTAACAAGGAAACTGCTCCTTTTCTATTTTTAGCCTTAAGAAATAAGGTTGGAAGAATAAAATTAATAACACTGTAAAAAGAGATTAGTTCCCCAAAGCTCTTCCTAATAAACACCACCATTCTCCAATTCCAGTGCAGGCAAGATAGGTGAAATTCTGCTTTTACACAGAAAAACTTCAAGGAGATGAAATCATATTCCAGAATCTCTCCATGCATCAACTTCAGAGGTGGACCACACTTCTACTCATGAGTCAGGGGTTTGTATTACTGCTCTAGAACCATGTAAAGATCAAGAATAGCTGGGGATATCTGCTCTCATTTCTGCTCATCACAGGGAGGTCCTTAAAAATAAGCAAGATCTTCTAGGCTGTTTGCCACTTTCCTAGTCCCCACTCCTTCCCCAAAGCTGCTTCTCTCTCAGCATTACTCTTCATTACTTCTTTAACCAAGGAAAGCTGGAGAAGGGACAACTTATGATGTAAGGAACAATGGAACAGTTTATAGATTCCCACTGGGTAATTTCCACACTGGCTAGGATGGTATCCTGGCTCCCTGACTCCCTTCCTTGTGTTGGAGACCCCACTCCAGTGTTCTAACAAGTGTTCATCACATTAACAGTGAGCCACCCCCCACTTCCATGAGTTTGGGAATGTATCTGTAAGGGTGTGCCCACTTCCCCCACCCCTTTTACTCTTTTGTAATGCAGAGGGGGAGCATCTGGCCAAATGACAGAAGCTGTTCTCACAAGAATACAAAGCCATATTCTCATTATTCCAACCCATTTATTGTCTTTTTATTGAGCTATTTTGTTACTGCTTTATTGACTAAAATACAACTTCTCATCTTTAAGCAGCTACAGGCATCTTGAAACTGTAACTATGAGGAAAGGCTTTGTTATGAAAAACTTACCTGGGTTTTTGTAAATGCTGAGCACATCCTTAAAATAGTGAGGTAAGAATCTTTCCAGTAAAAGCAGCACATCCTCCAACTCTTCCAGAATCCCCACAAGCAGGAAATTTTCATTCACGTTCAATTTTGCTCTTTCAAGGGCCCATTCACCAGGCTCCCTTTGTGGATATTAAGGGGAGAAAAATAAAAGGTCTTTAAATAGTGCATTTGCTTTGGAAATTCACATAAGAAAAAAATACTTAGTCCTCAAGCAGGATTTCTGTAGATGTGCAGGCAGGCTTTGTGATACTCTGCTTTATTGGATCAGAATCATTTTACAAACCGTTTTGATTGAAAATAGAAAGAGTAAAGGTCTATGTGGTTCATAAAACCTATTCACAAATCATCTAGATATGGTTTTCTTAGTTAAAATATAATTCCCTTAAAATTAAGTTGGGGACTGTGCAGCAGTGCTCAATTCTCTTGACATTTTCCTCTAAGAAGCTCAAAACCACTCACCCATAAAACAGTGCATTTATGCTCTGAAAAAGCCACCCGTACATCTATGTGGATGGAAGACTTGACAGGACTTGGTCTGTGAATGGCCCTGAAGGTGGACTGCAGAACATGAGGAAGACCCTTCCTCTTGGAGTGGTCTCCACCTCTTGTTGGCCAACTCATTGGCCATTCTTTCTCACATCTCTCTGGGTTTTCCCTTGCTCCCTCTTGCCACCCTTTGCTTTCTCCCTGCACCTATAGGAGATGTTTTTTAGGATGCTGAGTATCAGTCCAATTTTAAGGGTTGTTTAGACCCTAATGAGGTGGGTTTTTTGCCTTTCTTGCAGAATTAGGGAGGCAGAGTTAAGTGAAGCAGCAGTAGGACTTGGACATTCACAGTTAGCAATCTGCAGGAGTCCTTTATCTTTGCAACTTGCTGTTGGTGTTCAGGATGGGTAAAGGAACAAGGGGGTCACCCAGAACTGAAAGAGATCTAGTGGACCTTGTGCCTATAGGAAAAGAATGTAATGTCTTTGCAGACTGAGGTACACTCTTCAGTATGCTCTGTCGTTCTTGAAGCGGGGCAGAAAAGTGGAGAGGATTTAAAGGACTGAGCTGAATTTTACAGGCAGGCTGAGCAATGTGTACACCATTTCTAAGCAAAATGGTGGGAGTCCTACAATATCAGCAGTGGACCCAATTCTATATCTGGTACTCTAGGTTCATCATGTTTAAAGCCTGCCACCTAAGTTTACAACCCTGGCAAGAAAGCAATTTTTATGATGTACAGCATCAAATATGCTGTTTTACACACAGCATCACACAATCCTTTCCTTCACAAACCCATACCCATTTATTCTTTCTTGGGTATTTTCTTAGTTCATATTTGTAACCAATCCCAGTCCCCAGGACTTTCCTTCTGATTTGTATGTAGGGTGCTATTAGAAACATCAGCACCACATTTCACTAGTGCAGGGACCACAGTGTGATAGACATCATGGTTTTAATGGCACATGCCATAAATACTTGTTGGTCCCAACAATTTTTGCCTACCAGTTTATCTGGAGATCCAGGTAAAATGGCTTGACTACATCAACTTCAATTCTGTATATTGCTAAACAATAGCCTTTCCTTCTATATAGCCATCTTTTGCAGCCAGATAAAAGGTGGACAGTCAATTTGAGACATACCATTTGTCCAGTGGCACTCTACTCCCTTTACACAGCTCTGTCTCCAGCACAGAAGCAGTACAGAATTCTACCTATTGGGAACCTATATGTACCTGAGCACCTAAGCCGATCCTGTTCCACCCTATTTTAGTCCCTAAAAAACTGTTAACAGAGAAAGCAGAAGAATCCTCTTCCTACTTACTGCTCTTTGTGACTTAGTCTTAAGGCTACGATGGTGCCATGTAATAAAAGCAGTCATGGTAATGCTTTTTCAGGGATTTGAGCAGGGTGGAACAGAACACGTGTAGTTGACTAATAAGTGGAACAGGATCTGGTCCATGACATCGTAATGGCCAACTCCTCTGTCCCTACTTCTTGTAGCTCCCCTTCCGATTATGGTAACTTAGACATCTCCTTGGCATCTGTGGGACTGCTTGTGTGCATGAAGTTAAATATAGGACCACAAATGTTTACTACATCAGGGCCAAAACAAACTAGGAGTCCTCTATTTAAAACAGAGTCATGAAGGCATTTAACTCCTTCAGAACATCTGAGCAGAGCTGAATCTAATTATGGAAATGGAACTCACAATTTAGGGAAACATTTACAATGAAACTGATTAACACATAATTAAAACTGTGTGTTACACACACTGTCACTGTGATTTTTTTACTATATGCATACTAATCTATTTAGATTTGGTGAATTATAAGCATGGATTCAATGAAAAAGAAAAGCAAAATTTACATTACTTTCCTTATTTTGTAACAACTGCATGCAGTTATCACCAACTGCCACAAGACAGATTTTCTTTTGAATTTAAGATAGCAAAAAATCAATTGCATGTCTGATATAACTATTGGTACCTGTTTTTTATGTCTATTTCTTTATTACATCAGGTCTGAGATGCATATATTTACCTGCATCTTGGATGCTGTCCACAGAAATATGGTATGATGTAAAATAACCTGGGATTGGAACACTCAGGATAATTTTCAAGAATACATACATTAATGTCCTGAGGAGGGAAGAAAAAAAAAGAAAAGAAAAAAACTAAGGTTAAGTATTATTTCTTATAACCTCCATAAAAACTTTCTCTTGCTTTCAGATATTACTCATGCAGTGGACATAGTATACTTATATTTTAGTATGACTTCTGATAAAGTTCCCCATCATGTTCTTATAAAATTGCTATAATATGGATACATACTTTACTTAATTACTTCAACAATATAAATGGATCAATGTCAGAACGGCAGGAAGTTTTGAGAGAGGTTCTATAGAGAGCTGTCCTAGGATGCTGGAATAGAGACTTCTTGATCAGGTATATGGATGGCATGAGATTGGGAAGAACTGCAAACCCTTTGAAGGCTAGGAGTAGAATTCCAAAGGATCTTTGGAATCCTAGACTGGAAAGCTGGGTGGCAGATAAACATAAGGTGCTCATGTAGGGAATAACCAAATAAACAAACACAGAATCAGAAACAGAGTGGTTAGGAATGTTACTGAGATTGATCAGAAGAGTTTAGTCCATCACAGATTCACTATGCATGAGCAATATGATGCAGTCAAAAAATAGAAATGTACTTTTGGGCTGCATCAACAGTAATATATGGTATAAAATATGGGCGGTGAGAGTGCCCGCTCTACTCAGCATTGGTTAGGCTTCGCCTAGAGTAATGTATTTTCTTGCATACCAGTGTCTTCATGTCACCCTTTATTTTTGGAAGGCAGAATGCAGCAAATTCCCCTCCTGCCACTGCATCAGAGGCAACCATATGAAGAATCTCACCTGCCCTCAGTCAGTTCATTGGCTGCTTCAGGCAAAAGCTACAGTATTAATCCTTTTCACACCCAAACTGGAAGCAGCTTTTGAATGCTCAGCCAAAAATTTGAACCAATTCAGCAGAAATGTTAAAATTGGACTTTGCCTCTGTTGCTTACTGGGCCAGAGAGAAACAGTAGCCATTACAGACCATCATCTCCATCTTCTATTCTTCCATGATTCTATTTCAGGAAAGAAATCAGCTTCCCTGCTTACAATGCACCCCAATTTAGAGGCCTGATTTTTGGGAAAAAAGGTGTAATGGGGTATGCAAGTAAATACAGGCAGTCCTCGACTTACAACGTTTCGAGTTACAATGTTTTGCACTTACAACATTTATAAATTGACACCTGTTTCAACTTTATGATGTCAGTTTCGACTTTACAACACTTGATCCGATGCGACGTCATGCCAGCGAACAAGTTCGCTGTGTCGCTTATTTCCGCGGAGAACATCTGGCCAAACTTCCTTGGGCACTTTCTTTAAGAAAGCAGACAAGACTCCAGAAAAATCTGCAGCCAGGACTCCGGAGATGACTCCAGCAGAGAACCCTTGAAAAAGTCCAACCAAGAGCCTTTCAAAATGTCCAGCAAAGTCATCTCAAAGAAGTCCTTCCAAACCAATGTGATTGCTATTTACAATATAAATACATTAATGTACCTATATTACTCATCTATAACTGATTCTGGAGTATTTTTGATGAAAATAGGGTATCGAGCCTTGGTTCAGGAACCAATCCCCCATTTATAACATTGTTTCTTATGAGAAAATTTGTTCCAATTTACAACGTTTCATCATAAGACTTGGTTTTCAGGAACCAGTTGTGTTGCAAGTCTGAGGACTGCCTGTACAGTATTGTGTAAATTTCTGTCTTTCACACCTTAAGAAGGATGTGGTGAAGCTGGAGCAATCCAGAGGCAAGTGACAAAAATGATGAGGTGGTTGAAAGGAAAATTGTGCCTGAAGAAAAGCTGATAGAGCTAGGCCCGTTTAGCTCAGAGAAAAGGAGATTAAGGTGGTGGTTCGGGAAACAGGATGGGACATAATAATCGTTTTTCAAATATTTCAAAGGTTGTCATAAATACGGGAAGGACAGCAGTTCCCTTCCTGCAGAAAGCAGGACACAAACTAGTAGCTTTAAATTGAAGCAAAGCAGACTTAGATTTGATCTCAGGAAAAACAGAATAGCAGGGCAGTGGAATAGACTGGAAGTTACAGAATTTGCTTCTGTGGAGATTTCCAAGAGGAGGCTGGATAAGCATTTGACAGGCATGATTTTGGAGTAGCATTCCCACAGGGGGTGGAACCAGAATATGCTTGAAGTACCATATAACACTATGAATCATCTTCTTGTTCCCAAATTTCATGGGACTGTGCTGACTGAACCAAATGAAGTCCCATAAGGATAGCTTGTGGGAGGATCTTGCTGCAATGTCATGTTATTATTATGTTGGAGTGAACACACATGTGAAACAAGTTTTAAGTTTGTATCCTTTGATTTAAAACAAACTGTATAGGAGAGCAGCAGTCAATCTGTAGTCAATATGTGGCATTTACTAGATGAGTTATTAAAATAACTACCTTGGACATTAACATTTTGAACAAGAGTCCTGTATGATCTGTACACTTTCCTTTTTAAACATACCCTTGGAAAATAAACAGAGGAAGACAGAATACATTGAATCATGACTCCAGTCATTCAGTGATCTTAAAACAAACAAATATTAATTGAAATTCATACATTTTATTATTTTTCAAATAGTTGGCATAAAAACTGAATTCTGACTAATGCATTCTAATTATATTACTAAAATGGAACAAGAAGAAACACTTGTTGTTTGTTTATAACTTGGGCTAAATTCTGCCACCCTTACACTGAGCAGTGCCACATTGAAAAGAGATCCAAGTTTGCTTATGTCAAGTTTCACCAAGACATAAGCAAAAAATAAATAAATGAAGATGAATGATTCTGATCTTTTGTAAAAGTAGCATTTCTTGTTTCTTTTTTCTTTATGGTATTAGCACCCTAGCAATAACCATGTCTAATTCTATAACGCAATTAGCTTGACGTATATTGACAGGAAACACAATGATTAATCAAATATAAACTGGCAGTCTAACTGTGGCCACTGCCCCATCTACTGTCACTGTTCAGTGTGCAGAACTGCCTAAGTACAACTCTTTAGGCACTGCCTGTGGCAGAAGGCCACCTCTGTTTTTCCACAAAAACTCTGTTTTGTGACAATTTGGTTAGTATGGGCACAGCAGAGGATACGATACACACCTTACCCTATCTCTTTAGGTAACCTGAGCTGGATACATTCCTGAGGGAGGGGGGGAAACCTGCTCCCTCTGCCTACATGACTGGCATCACATACCTGGGTGAGGGGCTTGGGCTCCCTGGGGAGCTAGGAACTGCCAGTCTGCCCAGCAACTAGTGATGCATTTCAAATTGGTTGGCTGACAGCCAACAGGTTCTGGCCTCCATTGGACCAGGTAAATGAGGTCATAAGGGCTATATAAGTTAAGGACTGCCCAGGAGGAGGGGGGCAGCAGACACGAGGAAGACTCAGAGAGAGAGAAGAGCTGGACCATCTGAAACTTGCTCTCTCTCTCTCAAAACGCATGATCAAGGAACTGTCTGCCTCCAGAGGGAATCTCCACCTGCCTCTGGATGATACTTGTGACCAAGCTACCTGCGACCTTACTATCCTTTGTACCTAGCATGGGAGACTTATTGGGAGTGGGTCTAGATTATGCCTTGGGGTCCCCTTGGTTCGGCTGACTAAGGGAGACCGCTACTTGTGCTTCTGACTGAGGGAAGCATCTCAAGTTCTTTAAGTGAATCAAGTACCCTCAAGGGCTACTAGGCCTGTGTTTCTCAGGGTGCACAGAGCCAGAATCAAGCCCATCCATGGGTGGTTGCAGTGTTACCCCCAGGCTAGTGGGTGTGCTCCAGGAAGGGGGTCGGCCAGACGTGAGGCACCCCCAGGGAGGCACTCAGAGCCTGGAAGGTGGTCGGGCGCAGTGAGGTGGGTGGCTCAACGCAGGAGTGCCCCCTACTAGCCCGCCACACTGCCCTTCCCATGGCAGGATCAGATTCTTAAACTCTAATGCAGATAGGAACCCATGCTTTTAAACTTGTTCCCTCTTTTTCTTCTGTCTTTTGCTTATGTAAATTGATCTACAAATTTTATCTTTGTAACGGAAAGTCAGATTTAATGAGCGAAAGAGAAGATAAAAGTGAAGCAAATTTTACTGATTTAAGAGTGGAAGAATTACCGCCACAGATTGCACAATTTGTTACCAATTAGCATACATATGCAAGCACATGTGTGTACATACACACACACTCTGTTTCAAGGCCACTGAAAACAAGTTATTTCTGAATGCACGTAGATATTTCTAGTGAAGCCCTCCCAGCAAAAGCACAAAGGAAGATTTTAAATTGAAGTTTGTGCTTTAAATTGAAGTTTCTGCTTTCTAGAAAACTTTTACCAGTGGTGCTAAAGACTGACAACACATCTAAAAAGTATCAGGATGGTTACTTTGTCTTTTCATTGCTAATGATCTCATGGTTTCTCTTTGCTAACTTAATAAAAGGGTTGAACAATATTTCAATTTTAAACATTTTTCCTATTTTTCTTACAGATGTGATCAGAAGGTGTTTTACAAAGATGTGTCAGGGAGTGAAAAGAAAATCTGGGTGCTGAGCCCAGGTTACCAAAGGGGAAATACATACCCCAGAGGAGGAAGATGCCCTGACTAGGGCAAAGGAAACACTGCTGTGCTTTCAAAGTTGCTGCTCCCTCTGGATTGGAGGAAGGAGCTGGGGAAACACCAAGAAAGAAGCAGCACAGAGCGGATGCCAGCAAACCAGGTAAGGGGACTCTACAAACTTCTGCAGCCAACAGGGTCCTGAGTCCTCCAGTGGATGAAGCAAGGGAGTCCACTGAGCAGAAGTAGTTTGGAGGACCACCATCCAGAAGACGAGCGAGGAGCACTGGGGAGTTGTGAGAACCTGGTGTCCAAAAGGTAGCAGCAGAGAGCACTGCAATAGACCGGACTCCAAGAAAAAGGACCCAGTCTGGACGTCGAATAAAGCAAGAGCCCTAACCCAGGAGGAGTCAGAGGGCTGTCAAAGAAGCAGTCTCTCTTCCTTCTTTTTTTTTCTTCTCATTAATTTTTTTGTT